AATCATGTTCCATACAGTATATGGGTTCATTAATGTGAATGCAACAGTGTGTGTGTTTTCAGTGGAGAAGGACTTTTCCATACTGTTCAATGGTTCCAGTATATGTAACCTCCGGCCCACCTCACCCTCAGTTGTTTACACGCCCATATCCAGTTATACTCTAAATACACTGGGGTGTGGCACTGGTTTGTTGCTGGCTGCAGTGGAGTTCAGAACTATCCCAAATTTACATGTTTTTGTCAACCAGTCTTTCATCCCACTTTAGATGTGGTTAAGCTTGATGTGGTTTCCCTCCAGTTTCCTGTCATCTCCTCCATGCTTCTCCAAATTCCCTTTTTCGTGAATTTTCGAAAAAGATGTGACATAGAGTGTTAAAATGCTATACCACTTGAGCACAAAAACGGCACAAAAAGGGACAGTGGAGGAACAAATGTCGAAGGTCAACAGAAAACCTCTGTAGCAAAGGTTCCAGACATCATCAATGGGACAACCAGAAATGCATCCAAAGAAACTAAGAAACATTTACCTCACCCCATGTCAGAAACATGCACAACAGGATGAAAGCCACACCCTACAGTTGATTGTAAAAGTTCCAGCTCATATCAGGAATTTGAAAGAGAAGTACCAAGACAGCAAGAACTTTGTATAGGTAATCAGATTCCACCACACCCTTGCTGTAGTTATAACTGTTTCTTATTCTAAAGGAACACAAAATACTTGACAGACGAGATGTTTCTCCTTAGCCTTATTCCTCCAGACAGGCCATGCTGGCTGGAGAATTCTGGGATTTTTTTTTCATATTCTGATCATGTCAATGGAACTGGCACAGACATGGTAGACATCAGTAATTCTTGACATGGAAAATGTGTCAAGGGTTACTGTGAGTTGAAGACGTTTTCCTTCTTATGTCCCTGTATTTAATGGTAGTCATTTCCAGGGTTTCCCAAAAAAATCAGTCAATAGCTGTTTGAAATGAAGTGGCCTTGTAGAGGCAGCAGCGAGGCGAAACTACAAGTTATGAACTAAAACCTGAGTTGTTGAATGTATTTGTTTGATAAAGCAGAACTGGGGAGGGAGGCGAAGGACAGTCATAGTCAAAGGCTGGAAAGAACCAGCAGGCACGAAATAAGAAGTGAGAAAACTGACTAGAGGGGAAAACAGTAAAATGGAAGAGAATGGTCTTGGTGTAGCAACCCAGATGCTGTTGGACGGCATTTCTCATCCACCAGAGCAATTATGTCAAATGGCGTGGAATGCTGGAAGTTTCATTTTCCGGAAGGCCACACCATTCCTACTCCTGGAGTAAAGCTTATCATCTTCCTGCCATAACATGAACTGAATGACTAAATAAGGGACTTTCCAGACAATCCTGCACTAAACAGGAAATAATGGCAAGAGCAGAAGCACCATGGAAGTTTATAATTGAAGCCATAGGGGACTTTTGCAGAAAGGGATTAACTCATGACCTATGACAGTAGTTCTAAACCTGTGTTTTGACCTACAACTCCCAGAAATCCTAACAGCTAGTAAACTGCCTGGGATTTCTAGGAGTTGTAGGCCAAAACACCTGGAGATCCACAGGTTGAGAACCACTGGTCATGGGATTGGCACTATTGGATTGATGTAGAATTAACGTGGTTGTGCAGTGCAGTGCTTAATACTGTACTAGATTAAGTGCTACATGAAGCAATTCTTTAAATACTCTAGCCATTAAAGCATGGAAATGCATGGGGGATCTTTATGGGAGCCAGATACAGAGGAGGAGAAGGTTGCTGTACCTTTAATAACAGAGGAGAAGGGGGGATTCCTTAGAATCATAGAATTGGAAGAGTCCAAGCAGGAAAATTGAATTCAAAGCACCCCTGACAGTTGGCCATCCAGCCTCTGTTTAAAAGCTTCCAAAGAAGGAGGCTCCACCACACTCTGGGACAGAGAGTTCCACTGCTGAACAGCTCATAGTCAGGAAGTTAACAGCTCTCACAGTCAGGAAGTAGCTAGCAACACAAGCTACACCAGCAATCCTACCTATTGTGGTAATATCCAATAAAGTAGAGCTGGGCAACTGAGGCAGGTCTAGGGGCTGCTTTTCAGCTACTGGAACTCTCAGGGGGACACAAGCTGCCAAAATAGCAGAAGTAACCAGAAGTTCACTTCATGTTTGGAAAAAAGTATTTTGATGTTAAATGGTGTATGTATGTATGTATGTATATTGGGTCACACATTACACCCCTGAAGGATACACAGCTCAGTTTTGGCAGCATTGGACTAAGAACCCACTGAATGATCCATGGCGAGTCCCACCCTTTCCATTCTAGAAAACTCTGTGATAGGTGATACGTTGAAATGACTTTAAATCACAAGATATTGCCTGCTGCTTCTATCTGCTTTTAGCCATTTTAGGTTTGACACAGAGCATGAGTTTGACATTTGGCATAAAGCATTTTTGGATACATGCCTATGCAGAGGACTACTTAAAAGGAAATTGGCTAGGATTTAGAAAAAGTTTTTTTCAAATCTAAAACTCCTCAAATTCTTCAGGCAGTCCAAGAAAGGAAGTTTTTCAAGTTCTGAGTGAATTCCAAATTCGTTGCCGTACTGCTGGCATCCTCGAACTGCAGCCCTCCAGCTGTTTGGGCCTCCAACTCTCAGAAGCTTTAGCCGGTTTGTTCAATGACCAGGAATTCTGGGAGATGGAGGGACACAGTTTGACGATGCCTGCCAAAAAGCTACAGCAGGAAGAAGGACCAAATGGGCAGGATGGGTCTAAGTTCCCCCCGCAAAAAATAAAATAAAAATGGTATAGTAGGCCAGTGGCCACAAAGACATATGGTGGATCAATTGTGACTCAGTCTGAAATGTCAGGCTGTTATTATTAGCCTTTAAAATATAAGTGTGCTTCACCCTCTGCCCAAAAGTAGGGAATTGGTCAGACAAAGCAAACTAAGGACAGAATACAGCAACCATATGAATAAAAGAAAATAAAAGTACAACCATTAGATATACTCTATTGGTAACATTAAAAAATCACAAGTACAGTTCTAAAGGCAAAGTAAAGATTGGAGTGCAATTTTTTGAAAAAACATCAACTGTTTCTACTTACGGAGGTGTGACACCCTTTGGAAGTCCTAGTGCATTTACAGAGACTGGAGACGGCTGGGATGGTAGCATGGAGCTGAGGAAAGCTGCTGGTGACTGGGTAGAATTGGAAAATCTAGATGTTGGAGAAAGACTGCGGGATGGAGAAGGGACAGAGGTTGGGAGAGGAGGAGGAGGAGGTGGCGGCAGTGGAAAGGAATCAGCCACCGAAAAAGTGGAGGTTGGACTAAAAACAGGGGGAGGAGGAGGAGGTGGAGAAGGAGACCACGGGTATTCCCCTTCAGGTGAAAACGGCTGAGAGAAAGAGAGAGCAGATGTTCTGCCGAATTGTTTCTGCGAAGCAGTGGGAGACATGGGGGACGGGAGGCTCGATGTGGATGATCCGGATGAAGGAGTCACGTAGCTTGAAGCAGGACTGATATTCTGTGCAGCAATGAACTGTTTGGGGCGGGTGTAGTTGAAGGAGCTGGATGACTGCATGGTGGGAGCAGAATGAGAGTTGAGAACACTCATTTGCACAGGGGTGCAAACTATGGAGTGGCTGGACTCAAGTTCTTGGAATGAAGGTGGAGGTGGAAAAGTTGGAGACAAAGGCAGATTTTGGTGGAAACCAGCTGGTGGCTGCTGATACCAGTGGGAAGCTTCTTTTTCCAGTCGGATTTGGTTCTGCAACTGCTGGATTCTTAAGGGGTCCCTGGAATTTAAACAATAGAAAAGAAAAATAATTAGAAGAAAATTCATTTCGATTTCAAATAGAGAGGAGCAGATAAATATCATCTTGATTCAGGGCAAACAACTTTTAGCGACTAGAAAGGAAATCTTTTGACTCCCAGAATCCTAGAGCCATATGTGCTTAATGCAACTGCAGTTCCCAAAGGTAACTTTCCCCAAACTTAGCACTAATCTACAACCCTAGATCAACAGAACAAAAGTGGGAGTTGATTCGGCTGGCTGTCCTACTACTTTATCACATCTCATGTATAAATTAGCGTCACTTTCCTCCCTATGACATCAACCATATTAAAGGATTGCATGTCATCTTTGGGCTTCCATTGTCACCAGGAATTCAAGCTGTTCCATAAATGATTACTGGAAACCATAGTTAATGTAAGCGCAATTATAAACTTTGAACATGATTAAGGTTTGGTTGGAGATCAGGAGAAGAAGAAATTGTAAATGAGCATGAATGAAGTAGATGAAAGGAGTTCATACTTTTACATTTCTTCCTCAAACTATTAAGGGTTGGTATTGGTGACGCTTAGGAATGTTATATTTGTACCATACCATTACCTATTATAAACAAGGTATGTTAGATAGACACAGAACCAAAGCCTAAAGTAGAACAAATATTGGTAATGTTTAGGAGCATTACATTTGTATCATACTATTACCTATTATGAACAAGGTATGTTAGATACATGAAGAACCAAAGCCTGAAGTATAACAAATATCAGGAAACATTTAAATATTGAGTATACGAACAATAATGAAACAGTGAATTGCAGGAGACTTGCAGTACTATATCGGGGGGACTCACCCTCTCTTTCAAAATCCCAACTTTCTAGGAAATCTTACTCATGATGGAAAAGTTACTTCATTAGTGAGAAGAAGTCTCACACTGGCAAATTATTTCCAACTGATGGAAATCCTAAGGCCATAACCCTATCATGGGACTTTTTGGGAGGGAGTTGAAAGTGTGTGACTCAGCCAAGATCACCCAGTGGATTTCCATGGCTGAGCAGGGAATCAAACTTCGGTCTCCAGAGTCATAATCCAATACTCAAACCATTTGACCATGTTGGCTCCCATTAATTATTTGTTGGCTACATTATTAGCTACAATATTTGAGAATAGTTACTATTGATAAATGACCTCATCATACTAGAGAATGAACTCACTTAAAATCCGGTTTCTGCCTCCTGCAGAATTCTGGGGTTTGTAGTTTAGTGAAGCTGTTAAAGGCTCCTCCCTAAACTACAAACCCCATAATTTTGCAGGAGTCAACAACCAGATTTAAAGTGTATTCATTCTCTAGTGTGGTGAAGTAGCTAGTRTTATTTTCACTAAAAACAGCTAACAGCAGCTAAGAAATATAAACAAAGATTAATTTTAAAACAAATGAAACAACAAATCCATTGTAATAAAATGATTGAAATCACCACAATAATCAACTTGACATACTAACTCAAAGACAGCTAGCAGATATATCAWTTTTTCTTTTTAATCCAAAAATAGGTGTTAGGGGACTTGTTTTGAATCAAGACTCTACTATAGGAAAGTGCTTTAACTCTTTCTTTCTGGTGTGGTCTTGTTCTGAATACTCTGCATGTACTAGCAAGTTATACTGCCAAAAAGTGATTCATTCATAAGGAATTGCTTGCTACATCTTGAAAGAAATGTGTAGCTGGATCCACATTGCTCCACAGAAGATGTAATARACTGCTAGTTTGTACTTCCAGTTAAAATGAAAATGCTGCACTTCAGGTTCACAACCAATATGGACACACTGCTCYGACCTTTGACTGACTCCTTCAAATCTCTTTTCTTTTTGAATTTGACAGCTTCCATTGAAGGAATTAGAAGCTGCTGGACAGTGAGGAAGAATCAGAAAATGAATAGGGTTTTTTAAAAAAAGAAAAATCTAAGAAATGTGAACTGCTTATGCCAACCCCATTTATTGATAACAGTGGTTCCCAACTTTTTTTAGCCATGGACCACTCTCCAACATTAGTACCAAAAGTGTTATAAATCCATTTTGATCAAATTTAGATTCAAAAGGAGTCCCTGGTGGCGCAGTGGGTTAAACCACTCAGCTGATGAACTTGCTGACTGAAAGGTTGCAGGTTCGAGTCTGGGGAGTGGTGTGAGCTCCGAGCTTCTGCCAACCTAGCAGTTCGAAAACGTGCAAATGTGAGTAGTTTACTAGGTACTGTTCCAGCTGGAAGGTAACGGCGCTCCATGCAATCATGCCGACCACACGACTTTGGAGGTGTCTACAGACAACGCCTGCTCTTTGGCTTAGAAATGGAGATGAGCACCAACCCCCAGAGTTAGACACGACTGGACTTAATGTCAGGGGAAAACCTTTACCTTAGATTCGGTTTGGTTATTTGGGATGCTGATTTAGAAAATTGCATTGGATAAACCACATCAGCTCTATTTTCTGATAGAGAACATATGCCATATAGTAGTCACCATCTGCTCACCCATAGAAAACTATATTTAACAAGCTTCAGCACTATAAGAGGGTTTGACTAGACCACTTTCTCTCATTGCAATTGTGTAGTGATGGTGAGGCTGTGGACCATACTTTACTTCTTGCGGACTACTGGTGGTCCATGGACCACAGGTTGGGAACTACTGATTTATAATGTGTATGGGGGATGGGGAACTTGTGAGTCCCTAAATGTTGTTAGACATTAACATTGACTAATGTAGCTATCTAGCAACAAAAGCAAAACTGAGATATTATAGGTGTTTTTAACAACATTTTGAGAGTCATAGCATTTCCCACTGCTGGTATAAACTGTACTACAGTATTCACCATAAATGATAGTATAGTATTTGCCAGGTTTAGAGAATTGTTCTAATAAATAATAATATAGAAAAGCAGAAGTAAGAAACAACAAGTGTATTAAGAATGTACACACATCAATTAAAGGAGAAATCACCCAACTTTAAAGGTTTATTTAATGAAGGTAGCCTTCATGAGTACTATTTACAGTGATGTTTTTAAATAAATAGGAGACCCAATGGCACAGTGGGTTAAAATGCTGAGCTGCTAAACTTGTTGACCAAAAGGTCACAGGTTGGGAGCGGTGTGAGCTTCTTCTGTCAGCCCCAGCTTCTGCCAACCTAGCAGTTTGAAAACATGCAAATGTGAGTAGATCAATAAGTACTGCTCCAGCGGGAAGGTAACAGCACCCCATGCAGTTATGTTGGCTACATGACCTTGGAGATCTCTACAGACAACAACAGCTCTTTGGCTTAGAAATGGAGATGAGCACCAACCCACAGGGTTGGATACGACTGGACTTAATGTCAGGGGAAAACCTTTACCTTTACCTTTTAAAGAAATATTTTTGAAACTTTTCTTCCAATCTTTTTGAGTGACTTGACTATAATTTATTGAAGGATCAATCACCAGTTCCACCAAGGAATAAAGTAAGTTCCCTCTTGTACCTCTAAGATACAGTACTTGCACATCAAAGGGTACATTGGTACCTATAAAACAGGATTTTAACCTTAATCCTCTTTAATCCTCAAAAATGGAAGCAGAAGTTTCCAGTCTCCTCCTCATGGTCATCATGCCCAAATACAATCAATGCCACACCAATCAAAGTGAAATATTCATTGGAAATGTCTTAGAGTTCAGTTCCAGGTAGTGCATATAAGCTTGCTCAAAATACATTTCCCAAATGCTGCTGTTTTGGCTTCTAAAGAATGGTATCCCTTCAAACTACTTAGTTAACCGCACAGATGACAATAGACATTAATACCTTTAAGTATAATATGCATCTGTACACGCACACACCACTCTGTCATGGCAATGCTACATCCCCACTAAAATAAGCAAAGTTCAGTTGTATCTTGACATGGGATATATTGAAAGATTCATCATTCTTGTTTACATACAATCTATCACAGCTGGAAAATTGTCTGAGCGTTCCAGATGCCGTTGAGATTTTTGAAACGAGCTGTGATTACATACACATACCAATCAAACCTAGCTTACATATAAATATTTATAATAGTATGTATATGTAATTATCACACATTGTATCTGACAGCTATAAAATCTTGGCTTAGATGTTGACTAGTCTCTTAGGTGGTCTCGGCGCATTGAAATGATATTTTCTATTAACAGAGAGATTTGGGTATTACAAAATAACCTCTCAATATACTATGATTTTTCTTTCTTCACAAGATAACTGTTAAAAAGTTTAAAAATGCTTCAACTGCTCAAATTGGGATGGGGAAGCTGTAGCCCAGCCATTTGTGTTGAACTACAACTCCCAAGTTCCTTGCCAGTGATTATTCTTGTTGGTTGGGGTTTTCGACAGTGAAGCCTAAAAGCTATGAAACTGAAAGGTTCCACATCATGGATCAAAAACGTTTAGGTCAAGCCATATTAGGTCTGACACTTAACCTAAGAGCACCATCTCCTCTTGTGATAAGAAAGCTTCTAGAGAAAGGGTTTGTAGAGAAATTGAAGCAATTCAGAATTCACCAAAATGGCACAATTCATTGAAGTCTCAAACAAAATGATAACCATATCCAAGTTTCCATTCTTTTTACCGGGTATTTGTGGATAGTGTCCAAAGTAATAATTTCATCAGATGTATCTGGCTGGCTACAATTATACTGAAAATATGTAGAAACACACAGAAAAGATACAGAAATGTTTTAATGTAAGGGATTTTTAAGGCCTTTACCTTCTTCTAAGGGAATGTGGATTACAAGAATTCCAGGGAGGTGATTTGTGTGACTAGCTGTGCAAGAGCTGAAGTTAATATTGCCAATGTGGGAATTCCCTCCCTCTTTGCATATGGAAATTTCTATTTTAAAAAGAAATACTGAGTATCCATAAATATCTCAGGAAAACTTCATGTGTGAAAGGGAACAGTTAACACTCTTAATTCTAGGCAAAGCATATGTACTTTTGAGAGAATGTCAGATTTGCTTATATGTGCT